CTGTGTACGTGTCTGTGGGTTTTGGGGTTTATTTGTTTATCATAGTCAAACTAATTGGTGTGAAGTGACATCTCATGTGGTTTTGATTTGCACTTCCTACAGATAAATGGTGATGAGTATCTGTTTATGAGTCTGTTGGCCACCTGTATGCCTTCTATGAATAGATGAGTGGACAAAAAAATATATATATATACAATGTACTACTACTCAGCTATTAAAAAAAAGTTGAAATTTTGCCATTTGCAACAACATGGATAGGGATTATAAGTGAAATAAGATGGAAAAAAATACTATATGATTTCACACATATGAGGATGATAAAGAAACAATGCAAATAAACAAATCCAAACCAAACCCTTAGATTCCTAAAACAGAATGATGGTAACTAGAAGGGAAGGGAGATGAGAGGTAAGTAAACAAGTTAAGAGGATCAACTATATGGCGTTGGATAGAAATTAGACTTTCAATGGTGAACATAATGTAGTATATTTAGATACTGAAATATAGTGCTGTGCACCTGATAAAAAAAAAAGCCAAGAAAATAAAGAAAACAATTTGATAATGAGAACACAATGGTGGTCACCAGAAGGGAAATTGGATAGCAAGTGTGCAAATAAGATAAAATGGTCAACTGTATGGTGATGGCTGGAAATTAGACTGTTGGCGGAATCACAATGAAGCATAATCTTCTACACCTTTATATAATGTTATAAACCAATGCTACTTCAGTACAATCTTTAAAACGTAAAAATAAGACTGATAAATTATACACTAAGTTCACACATGAATACAGATTTGAAAAATCTTAAATAAAATATTAACAAATTTAACAATACATAACAAAGATGGGCTGGTCAAGGGAACACAAGTGTGATGTAACATTAGAAATCTATTAACATAATTCACCATGTTAACAAATTAAAGGAGAAAAATGTGGAAAATTATGGGATCATCTTGATTCAGAGAAAATATACTTGTTAAAACTCAACCTCCATTCATAATATTCAGCAAGACAGTAAAGAAAGGAGCTTAACTGATAAAAGGTATCTACCCTGAGCACTTAATAAAGTTCAATACCTGATTCAAAAGCCAATAAAAATAGAAAGTAACTTGCATAATCTGATAAAGGACAACTATCAAAAGCCTATGGCAAAAAAAGTACTTGAAAGCTTAACGTTAGTCACTTCCTTCAAAGTCCAGACAAGAAGATACCAGTTACCACTGGCTCCATTCAATACTTTCTGGTGATGCTGGACTACAGTAAGACTTGAAAATGATAGAAAAGGTTTGAGGATCAGAGAGCTATGAAATGCATTATTGTAGATGATATTGTTTCAATCTTTAAAACAAAAGAAATAAACAGTAATAAATATAATAAAAGTAATATTTATTTTAAATTAAAATAGCATTATAATACATAAAAGTTTAGCAAGATTTCTCAATATAAGTATATAAAAGACATCTATATTTCTATAAACTAGCCACAAATACTTACAAATGTGAAAAAATATCATTTACAATAGCAACAATAACAAAAAAGATTAAATCATAAATCTACACAGAATATTTGTGAAGAAAAATTATAAAATATTTTAAAGAAAAACATACCATGTTTGGACTAATATACCTTGTTCAGAGATAGAAAGCTTATTTACATCTCAAAATGATCTATAAACTCAATGCCCTTACCATCAATACAATCAATGTTTTTGAGGAATTTGACATTATTCTAACTTCCATGAAGATTAATGGGTTAAAAATAACCAAGACATTCCTAAGAGTTTCTTTTGGGTGAATGGTTGTAGTAATAACCATAAGAGTCCAGAAACAAACTCATGTGTATTTGGATCTACTATTTGACACGTGATATTACAGATCAATGAGGAAATAGTATTAGGATTATCCAAATTAAAAGTAAAATTGGGTCCCTACCTTGCATAACACAAAAAAATTAATTTTACCTGTATGAGGCTGTAAATTCAAAAACAAAAATTATTACTCTTAAAGGAAATAAATTAGTATCTTTGTAATGTTGGATAAAATAGACATTTTAAAAAATACCAAACAAATGCATTAAAGAAAATTATTGGGGCCCTCCCTGGTTGCACAAGTGTTAAAGGCCAGCACTATGAAGCGATCTGCAACCATGCAGCACAAGTTCGATCCTCCTCCTCCCCCCAGGAAGATGGCCCACATGGTGTGGCACACCTCTCCTGACCCAACCCTGCTCCCCACCACAAAGTATTTCAATCCATCTGCCTGTTCTGCTCCTCACTCTGTCTCTGGTGAATCCTCTCAGCCCCTGCACCTCTGGCCTGTACCCCGGTTCTTGTATGCATGCATAAGTAATTCTTAAAAAAAAAAAAAAGGAAGAAAGAAAATTATTGGTATGTTTGTCACACAAAGAACTGTGCTGAAAGATACAAGTAAAAAAGAAAGTGGCAAACTGGGAGAAGATATTTAACATAAACATATCTAACTAAAACTTAGCATCCAGAATATATAAAGAATGAGTACAATGGAATAAGAAATAAGAACAACCAAACAGAAAAATGGTTAACAGATATTTATTTATCCAGAGAAGACAAATGTATGGTTAATCAACCTAGTAGAAATCATGGAAAGTAAAAGAAACACAATACCGTTTTATGCCATTGAAGCTGATAAACATTAAAAGTTTGACAACACAAAAACTAGTAAGGATCCAGAACTATACAAATCAGTCCCATCTCTTTGGGAAACTCTTTAGCATTATCTGGTAAATTTGTCGGTAACAACCCAACATTTCTATTCCTAAGAATAGTCCCTAATTTTTTTCTACAATAAGGAGACATATAAAAAAATGTTTATAATAGCAAAATTCTAGAAAGGGTTCCAAATATCTTTCTACTCAAACATGGATAGATTGGATATATAGCCACAGTGAAGTACCATACAATAGTGAAAAGTAATGATCACTGCCATATCAAATACTGAATCTTACTTACTTCAGCCCTTGACAGAATGAGATACTTTAATGTTCAGCTTTTGCTTTGAAAAAGTGGTTTCTGTGTTTTGCTATTTGTCAGTATTTCAATTTGTGATAACCAAATGTACTGGTGTGAGAACTGAGCTCTGAATGACTGGGAGTTTCACTTTGAGTCAGGCATGGGACACTTTTTTAAAATTTTAATATAATAATTTATTTTTACATCATATTGTACATTTTTTTTCATCTCAATTGTAATCCCCATGGGTTTCCCATCATTGCCATAGTCCAATGCACTTCCCTCCCCCACTGTTTTTGATCCCATTCCCCACTCTACCCCTATAATATGTCTCTGGTATATGACTATTCGTTATTATTATTATTTTCTCACCTGGTCCATTATACTCCTGCTATGAGCAAAACCATCCAGTAATTTTCTTTTTCTTTCTGGCTGATCTCACTAAGCATGATCTTTTCCAGCTCCATCCATGTTGCTGCGAAAGATATGTGTTTCCTTTTTTTGGTTGCTGAGTAATATTCCATTGTGTATATGTACTACCTTTTTAATCCAGTCATCTACTTTTGGGCATTTGGGCTGTTTCCACCTCTTTCCAATTGTAAATAGAGCAGCAATAAACATGAGGATGCAGGTATCTTTTTGAGTCAGTGTTTTTGTGTCTTTTGGGTAGATACCTAGGAGTGGGATTGCTGGGTCATAGGGAAGCTCCATGTTTAGCAGTTTGAGGAACCTCCAAACAGTTTTCCATAGTGGTTGTACTAGTTTGCATTCCCACCAGCACTGCAGGAGAGTTCCTTTTTCTCCAAATCCTCACCAACATTTGTTGTTGCTAGTTGTGTTAAGGTGTGCCATTCTCACTGGGGTGAGGTGGTATCTCATTGTGGTTTTAATTTGTATCTCCCTTATTACAAGAGCTGTTGAACATTTTTTCATATACTTGTTGGTCATCTGCATTTCCTCTCTGGAGAAGTGTCTTTTTAGCTTTCCTGCCCATTGTTTGATGGGGTTGTTTATTTTTGTAGAGTTTCATCAGTTCTCAGTTCTTTGTAATCAATCCTTTATTGCTAGTTTTGTGTGACAAAATTTTTTCCCAATCAGTGGGCAGGTATGGGACACTTTTTAAATGTGAAAATTAAATAAGGAAACCTTAAAATTGGGTTCAAGAAGACCTGCAGAGGAAGCTCTAATGCATTATCATTCCCCATTATTTGCAGGCACATTCTTCACAACAACAGTAAGTAGGCAACCCTTACACTCCCAGACAAGGAAATCATACGCTCCAAGGAAATTTTATTCTGCCCAGCAACAGCTCCAACAACAGGAAGAGCCACAGCCCAGCTAAGAGCCACCATCAGGACTCTTACTCTCCTCCAATGAATTCTTTTTTAGAACAGCCCCTCCCCACGTCCCTTTTATCCTACACAGTAAGCTCCTTGATACTACTATTATTTTGGATTCGATAAGCCTGTGCATAACATACATATATAATTGTAATTCTTCTGGCTATTACCGGATAAATTGTGATAGTAAATCAAATGGCTGTCCTTGGAGTAAGAAATAATAATGAGCTCTGGGGACTTGCTACTTCCTCCTACCTTTCTCATAATCACAGTTTTACATCTTAATGTCTTCATGTGTATAAGGAGAACACCTTTATGGTGGTCTGCTGGCATTAAGTTCCTCAGGACCGTCCAATTTTTGCTAAGAACAAGCAGGGCCGCGGTGCTCCCACCCACTTCGCCCGGCATCCTCACCCATTGCCGGGTACAGAGGAGGCACATTTCCACTTCAACCTCCACTCTGACCAAAACTCAAGTTGCAGTCACCCTATCAGAGTTTGCGCACCCTGAGACTTTCAGCTAAGAGATCTTCCAGTGGCCGTCCTTCAACAAACCCAACGACAAACACCAACTACAGGTCTTACATGACATATCTCACAGCCTTAAACCGCCGCGCGAAGGCCTGGCTTGTATGTCACAGAAGCGCCGGAAGTGGCCGGCCAACTTCTACGTCATCTTGCTGCGCCGATCTGGCAGTTGCTGGGAGGCGGCGAGGGGTGGAGTCGCTGGGGTTAAGATCATGCCTGACAGCGAGAGGTTTCCTGGGCAGCAGAAGCCGCTAGGGTTGGGATGAAAGAAGCAGAGCAAATGCAAAACCTGGAGAGCGCAGGGGCCCGGCGGACAGTGGGCACCCAGACTGGAAGCATGACGGGTGAGTGCCCGGGCCAGTTTCAGCTCCCGCAGCCCTTCGCTCTGCCGGGTACCTCTCCCGCGGTTTAACTCTGAATCCCCTTGTCCGCCCCTTTTCGTCTACGTTTCCGCTCCTGGACGTTTCGTGGGAGCCTGGGTGATTTCCATCCTCGATCGTTGGGACGCTTTCGCCAGGCCCTTCCTAGACTTTGGAAGTCTCTCACACTGTAGCCCTTTCCTTCTCCCACGACCTAGAACTGGGATCCGTGATCGACGAGACTGAAAATACCCAACTCATGCTTAAGGCTTGATTCCCAAATTAACTGTACTCAACGCTTTCTTATATTTCTACTGTTTTAGTAAATATCAAAGATCACTGTATGTATTAGTGTCGTGTTCTAAACATTACCCTTATTGCAGCATCTGATCACAGTCGGAAGAAATGCGTGCTCTACGATGACATCAGATATAAGGACTTTTCATGACTTCTTTTTCAGTTGTACCTATTTTTTTTCCTTGCCGGGTGCAAGAGGGCGCAACTTTGGGCTTTGCAAGGAGCTGGCGAATGTCGCCTGTGAGGTTGAAAACAGCCTCCTTCCAAAAAGCTCTTTGATTCCCTTGATCTCTCTCTAATCCTTTTCTCTGCCTCCTGCCAAAGCAGCTAAGCTAAGTTGCAGCGCTCAAGTGGCAATGAACTTAATTCTTATTTTCATAATTAGTAATAAATTGATGGTGTTTGCCTTCTCTTTTGTAGGTCAAATACCAAGGCTTTCTAAAGTCAACCTTTTCACGCTGCTTAGTCTCTGGATGGAACTCTTCCCAACAGTAGAAGCCCAAAGACAGAAATCTCAGGTATTATTTGTTTCCTCATTTTTTTTTCCATTAGAGAAAATTGGGTTTTGTTGCTCCAGTTTCTGTTACACTTAAACACAAACTCAATAAACCTTAACATGTTCAAAATACTTTTATGGTTTAGTGTGATACTTGTAAACCATAGTTGTAATAGCTCCTCTTTCCAGTCTAAAAATACAGTTTTTCTTTCAGACTTCCACATTTAGCAACATATAATGGTATTTATATGTTGTTTGGTCAATTAGATTTTTGTCTATTCCAAATTATTTAACACTCATTTGTATCCTATTTGTGCTTCATCTAGTTTTTGTTTTTCCCTCTGTCACTGAACTATAAATTTCCTGAAGATAGAAATGATACTTTATTTTATGGGTAGCATCTAATTAATATAGTAGGTAATCTGTGTGTGCTAATTGATTTCTTGTTCCATGTGAGTATTTTTTGGATCTTAAAAGAAGTGATAAAATAGGTTAGCAATGTCTGGTAAGAGTATAATAAGAGTCAGTACATTGGAAGTATGTGCATCTTTTCTTTCTCCTACTCTTGGGGGAGCAAGGTGCTATGTTCTCACCTTCCTCTCCGCATCGTGCCAGGTTTTCACCATTTTACTTTAGTAAGTGTGGAAGTTTAGTGTGTTGTCATTCTCTTTTAGGGAGTCAATGTCATATTATGGAAAATAGCTTAAGTTAAGCATTTAAGACATTTTTGAAAACAAGAAAAAAGGAAAGATGGCTTTTCACCATTCTAGAAACATCACTTTTTTTTTTTTTAAGATTTATTTATTTGTACATACAGAACTGGGGTGCAGGCCAGAGGCTCAGGGGCAGCGAGAGGCCTCACCAGAGACAGAGTGGGGAACAGAACAGGCAGATCGACGAAGCACACTGCTGAGGGGAGCAGCGGGCGGGCCAGGAGAGGTCCGCCACGCCATGCGGTCACCTCCGGGGCAGGCGGGAATCGAACTCATGTGGAAGTGGCCTCAGATTCTCAGTGCTGTGCTCCAACCCGCTGCGCCATCAGGGAGGGCCGGAACATCACTTTTAACATTTGTTACTTAAGTCTTATTTTTTAAAGCACATGTTTTTTTTCTCTCATAAAATTGTAATTATATTTTGCATATGCTTATTAAAATTTCCAACTTGTCAATAATGCAATAGACAGGTTGCCTTAGATTTTCCACAGGAGGACTTTTTGTAATTCCTTAAACTCCCACAGTACACTTACTAGGTCATTCATAACCACTTTCTCTCTTTCCTCTCATACCTTCTTTACTGTGAATGAGGTTGTTGCTTCTCACTGGGGATAAGAAATAAAAGATTTAATCATTGTTTTCCAGTGGGGAGAGAAACGATGTTTAAACAATTAAGATAGAATTAGATGGAAATCTGAAGTATAAAGTTGAAGCAGAGGTATTATGAAGACTGAGCACTAGGCACTACATTGGAAAGTTAAGGATGGTTTCACAGAGAAGTTTGCTTTTGCCCTGAAACATGAAGAATAAAGACCTATTTGCAACCAAAGACTAAAGACCTATTTACAACCAAAGGGACTCTTTTGGAAAAAAAAAAAAAAAAAACGCCAAAGAAAAACTTTAAAGGAGAGAACTTGTGTTCCTCATGTCAGAAGTTGGAAAGAGGGAGGAGAGTAGAAATGAGTTGGGAAAGGTAAAACATAAAAACATTGTGTACCTTGCAAAGGACTTTACATTTTATTCTATAAGTATCAAGATGCAATATTTTAATAGGGAGTTGCAAAATTTACTCTTTTATTAAAAATCTTTTTTAGAGCATTTTTAGATTCACAACAAAATTGAGGAGAAAGTACAGATTTTTCCACAAACCCCCTTCTCCTACACATGAGTAGCCTCCTCCCTTGTCCACATGTCCTCAGAGTAGTATATTTGTTACAGCTGATGAACCTTCATTGTCATGTCATGATTACTCAAAAGTCTAAAGTTTACATTATGGTTTGCTCTGGGTGCTATACATTCTATGGGTATAGACAAATGTATAATGACAGGTTTCCATCATCATGGCATTATTCAGAGTATTTTCATTGCCCTGAAAATTCTCCATGCTCCATTTATTCCTCCCTCTCCCACCTCCACTGATCTTCTTATTGTCTCTAATTTTGTCCTTTCTAGAATGTCATATTGTTGGGAATCTTTTAGTTTATATCCTTTTCACATTGGCTTCTTTCACTTAGTAATATGTTTAACTTTAAGTAACAGGAAAGCCAGGATAGCAGAGAATTGCAATTCAGGGATCATATCCTGAGAATAGACAAAGGTGAGGGCATGTAGAGCTTTTATAGAAAGAAAAAGCAACATGAGTTAGCATGAAGTAAAGGAGTCATAAGACAAAATGGCATTGTGGAAGGGCTTCAAGATAGAAGTGTGTAAATGGGCCCTCCCTGGTGGCACAACAGGGTAAAGCACAACAATGTGAAGCTATCGCAGCCACTGCAGCATGAGTTCGATCCCTGGCCTGGGAGGTAACTCACATGGCACGGCAGTCATCTCCTGAATGGCTCGCTGGTAGCTCCCCTCAGCAGTGTACTTCAAAGTAGGTCTGCCTGTTCTGCTCACCACTCTGTCTCTGGTGAATCCTCTTACCCCTGGCCTATACCCCAGTTCTGTATGCATGAGTGGCTAAATCCTTTAAAAAAAAAGTGTAAACAGTCACTTTTATCAGTCCACTGAAGGTGGATATTCTCATACTTGCTTCTTGGAATGTTATCAGAGGTTTGGTTTCAGTTGAAAGAGGAAAGCAAGTAGTTTTTTTCTATAGTCTACTCTGGTCCTTTTGTAAAAGTACTCAAATGATGTCAACTTTATAGATGGATTTAAGGGTCCTTCATGTCTTTTCATGGCTTGATAGCTCATGTATTGTTAGCACCAAATGAGACACCATTGTCTCAATATATTACTGTTTATCCATTCACCCACTGAGGGAATCTGGGTTGTTTTATGAACACAGCTTTTCAATTATGAACACAGCTTTTCAGTTATGAACACAGCTGCTCTAAATAGTCATATGCAGGTTTTGTCTGACGTAACTTTTCACCTCTTTTGGATAAATACTGAGGAACAGGATTGTGAAGGTTGATAGGTATTTAAGGAAGGTAAAAGGTATATTTAGTTTTATGAAAAATTCCGTCTTCCAAAAAGGTTGTGCTATTTTATATTTGCAGCAAAAATAAAGGAGAGTTTATGTTGTTGAACATCATTGCCAGCATTTGTGTGGTCATTGTTCTAGATTTTAGCCATTCTGCTAGGTAGAATGTGCAATTTCCTGATGACGAAAGATGACAATATGCTTATGTATCATCTTTGGTGAGGTTTCTATGGCCCATTGGTTAGTCTGCTTATTAATTGATTTTGTATTTTGGGTAATAGTCTTTATCAGATGTGTCTTTTGCAAATATTTGCAGTCTGTGGCTGCTCATCCTTGAAGTCGTCTTTTGCAGAGCAGTTTTTAATATTGACGAAATCTAGCTTATCATTGATTTCATTTCTATATCATATCTTTGATTCTCTATCTACAATGTCATTGCTGCCCCAAATCATCTAGGTTTTCTCCTATTTTTTTTAATTGTATTGTTTTTTTACATTACTGTGTGACTTAGGTATAGATTGACACTGTTCAAATATGTGTTGCTGTACCGTACCCACCACCAAAGCACCTATAATCCTCCACCGTAGTCCGTTAGACCACCTCCTACCTGTGCTCCCACCCTGCTTCCTCTTTTGTCCCTCTCCTTGGTTATCTTCTAAGAGTTTAAGAGTTTTACATTTTACATTTAGATATATAGTCCATTTTGAATTAATTTTTGTAAAGGGTAAAGTCTATGTATAGATACATAATCCACTTTTCATGTTGAAATGATATCTCTTGGAGTAGTTTTCTCCTCCAAATATTACTTCAAATGTTACACATTTTTTTCCCTTTTTCTTAACCACTCTCCCAATTACCATCCTTGCTACAAATATTATTAATGACTTTGAGAAAACTCTTCATTTCCTTCATGGTTTTGAAGACTTTCAATCTTTTTACTTGTTGATAATTTAACAATTTTTTAAAAAGTTTTATTTATTTATGCCAGTGCACCATGAGTTCAATACCCGGCCAGGGAAGTGACCCACAGAACTCAGCAGACCTCTCCTGTCTCACCTGCTGCTCCCCTCAGCATTTTATTTCAGTCAGTCTGCCTGTTCTGTTCTCCACTTTGTTGCTGGTGAATATTCTCACTGGCCCCCATCCCCCACACCTCTGGCCTGTATCCCAGTTCTTAATACGTATTTTTTTTTAAAAAGAGCAGCCAGTGGTTTTTAGTTAGCATGCCTGACTTTGATTCCTGGTTCCACCTCTTAGTTACATAAAACCTTGGTTATTTTACCTCTTGTGTCAGCTTCCTCGTTGATAAAGTGAAATGTTACTATAATATGTTATGTGGAGTTTTTATGAGACAAGTTGAGCTAATATTTATAAAGCTCTTAGCTGTGCTCCACATGCTTCACACTCTATGTGGGTATTAATCATCTTGATGATTGCATAGCAGTTTGCTGTTGCCTTAGTATTGAACAGTTAAACTATCTGTAACTTTTATCAGCCTTAATGTATTATTAATTTACAACTTCTCCTAACTATAACTGATCTCTGGGCTTCACTATATTGTGTGGTATTCACTCTATATGACTATTCCTTGCAGGTTGTTCAGCAGAATAGACATAGACTAAAAAGGGTAGAATTTTGAAGATCCCACCCCAAACTAAACAAATGAGTAGAAGAGAAACTATTTGAAAGTTTTGGAATAGAGATCAAGTACTGTTGAAAACAACTATCATTTTAGAAATCTGTCCTGCTGGTTCAGGTTTTTAATTTTAGTTAGGTAATATTTACCTAAATTACCTGCATATTACTTTAATAAAATATGGAACAACCACATTTTCCCCTCATTTTTCTCTATACATAATATATTGTTCCTCTGTTCCAACTTTTTCATCAGTTGGTCCCTTAATTTTAAATAAAAGACCTCACTGTACTTTTTTTTTTTTAAGATTTATTTATGCATACAAGAACTGGAGTTCTTGTATGCAGACGTGTGGGGGTGAGAGGATTCACCAGAGACAGAGTGGGGAGCAGAACAGGTGGGTTGACTGAAATACACTGCTGAGGGAAGCAGTTGGCAAGACAGGAGAGGTCTGCCATGTCACGTGGGTCACTTCCCTGGCCGGGGATTGAACTTGTGCTACAGTGTTTGCGGATAGATTCATAGTGCTGCATTTTAACTTGTTGCACCACCAGGGAGGGCCCTGTACTTTTTCAGAACAGAAGCAACACATAATTGAGACAGTGGATATGAGGTCCAGATCCTAGCTTACTCATTTATTAGCTATGAGACCATGTGTGAATTATTTAATCTCTCTCAGTCAAAATTCCCTCATTGTAAAAGGAAATAACAGGTACTTTGTGAAGTTGTCAGAATTAAATGAGATCATTTAGGAACTGGTACAGTTTGGTCAACAGTTAAGATTCTGTTACTATCACACATGTAATCATTCTCACTACCGTCCATATTGTCACCTTTTTTCACTATCAGTATCATCATTTGTCCATTTCCTGTTCTGTGTGAGTAGCATCCTATTTCACAAGAATGTGGCTTTTCTTGAAAACTTCTCAGCAGTTACTTCTTTTCTAACACCCAGTACTTAGTTCATTAAGACTAAGAGGTCAACATTTAACAAGTTTTCCATTACCATTTTCAAACTTTCTCCAATTTATTACAAGCAGAATTCTGCTAAATCACTCTCTCTTAATCATGTACTTACCTCATAGTCACATTCCTGTGGTCATAAGTCATAAGCTTTAATAATGTTACATTCTGGGCAACCATGTTTATGGCTGGCATATAGCAAGTGTTCAATATTTGTTGACTTACTAAGTGAATAAGTTTGGCAAGTGTTCAGTAAGTATTAGTTGACTTGACAAAGGAATTTGACAGCTGGCTCAAAACTTTATCCTTTAAGTTTTATTTTTACAGGAGACCTATAAACTCCCCTATATTGGTATCCTATTGCTGCCTCAACAAATTACCTCAAAGTTGGTGGCTTTAACCAACATACTTACCTATCTATGACTTTGGCTATCAGAAGTCTGAAATGGGTGTCACTGGGCTAAAATCAAAATATCAGCAAGGCTATAGCTTCTAAGGCTCTAGAGAAGAATCTGTTTTGTTGCTTTTTACAATTTCTAGATGCTGTCCACATTCCATGGTTCATGAGTTCCTTCCTCTTCAAAGAAAGCAATGACAGGCCAAGTCTTCCCAAAATTGCATGATTCTGGCACGGATGCTATCTACCTCTCTCACTTATAAGGAACTTTATGATTATTTTGGGCCCACTGAAAATAATCCAGGATAATCACTCCATCTCAAGGTCAAATGATTAGCAGCCTTAATTATATAATTTTTATCTGCAACTTTAATTCCTTGCCATGTAACATGAACTAGCTCCGAGCTCCAGATATTGGGACAAGAAAGTCTTTGGAAGACAGTTATTCTGCATGTCAGAATAGTTTCTTATCATCAAAATTCCAGTTAATTTACCTGTATTTCCCAGAGTCTATCATAGCAATAGCCACACTCTGGACTTCTGCATTGCTCAAAACCTCCCCAACCCTGAAATCTTAAACTAGAGATTTTTATTTTCTAGCCACAATTTCTAGTACTTCAATATTTTGAAAGATTATGCAGGAGTCATATTATAATAGGTAAATAGTCTGAACATGAACAATTTAAGAAGTCAGTTCAGAATGTCAGTAAGAAGGCCCTCCCTGGTGGCACAATGGGTAAAAGCACTGCACTGTGAGCTCAAGTTTGGTCCCCCACTAAGGGGTGACCCACATGGCCCAGCAGATCTCTCCTGTCTCTTCCACTGCTCCCCTCAGCAGTGTACTTTGTCTGTTCTGCTCCCCATTCTGTCTCTGGTGAATTCTCTTACTGCTCCTGCACCTTTGGCCTGTACCCCAGTTCTGTATGCACAAATAAATAAATCTTAAAAAAAAAAAATTTCATTAAGGAAAAAAAGAATGACCTAAACCTGGGAAAATTAACCTTTAAATAGTAAATATAGAATTAATATTGTATTTTTTTATTGATTAGACATTTTTATGTTCTTATGTTGATGTTCATTTGTGTACACTATTTGATTTCTTCCCTCAGGTGTAGTCCCCCTAAATCTCCCACCACCACTAAACTTCCCACTACCATGTCACCCGTGAACTGTCACCATAGGCCCTTGTGCTCTTCCTTCTCCTCCCACTCTCCTGCTATGTGCCTCAGATCTGTAGTTTGCTTATAAGTTTTGTTCTTTTTTTAGCCCTCTGTTTGCTTTCCCTATATTCCTCCTATAAGTGAAACATGCCATATTTTTTTTACTTTCTCATTTCACTGAGAATAATAATAATGTCTTATGTATTAATCTTTTTGTCCTCTTTCATATGCTTTTAACTAGGAAAAGGAAGAAGGAAAACATGGACCCTTAGACGATAATGAAGAGATGACCAGAGTAGTTAATGATAAAAAGCAGGTGAATTTTTATGATTTTTTAAAAAGACACATATATTTGTAATACAGAGTAAAAAAAGAAAGATATACTACTCAATAAAAGTCCCTCTTATCCTCAAGTTCCAATTTATATTTCCAAGAGTTTCTTATGTATTTTTCTAAAAATTTTCTGTGCATTTACAAGTCTACACTTCCTCCCTATTTTTTTTTTTTGTGTTTGTGTGTGTGTGTGTTTATAGATGGGATTATAATATGCTTCTACATCTTGCTTTTTTTTTTAATTTTCTAATTTAACTCTTGACACCTTTTCATATTAGGTCAGATAAATGGTGTTGAGAAACATTTTGTGGTTCTCCCAAATTATAAAACATACTCTATTTTTGCCAAGAATCAAAGCCCTAAGCTGCTTTTATCCTGGCCATTTTTTGGTGTTTGTTTGCAACAAGCAACCTTGTGAGTTGAGATAATATCTCCCTTTGGGACAAAGAACAAGTTTGCTTACTGTTGCAATAAAACAACAAGATCCCCAGGCTCAGTGTTCCTCTCCTACCATGTAACCGACTTCCTGTCTGGGAAGCCATCTGGGCCCATCTGAATTACCCTGTGGAACTTGTGGGCAAGGGAGCCATCACAAACAGGATGATCAACTGCTTGATAAAGTCCTTTTATCTCTGATCCTGGTGTATCATGTCGTTTAACATCCATCAAATATTAACAGACAAACTTAACTAGCTTGAGAATAGGGTTCAGTCCAAGCCCAGATTTGACAAGATAAACTTTGTTATTTTTAATATTGTATAGTATTTCCTTGTCATCTTAATCTTTTGAGTTTTCCAGAGATTCTGATTCATTGGGTGTGGAGTGGAGACTAAGCTTATATATTTTGAAAATGTTACCTTGATGATTCTGATGTACATTCCTGGAGATTTCGTGATTCGTTCTGAGAGTGAGTCTCTAAAATGCCCAACAATGACATAGAAATAATTTATCTCAGAATATTTAGATGCTTTTAATTATAAGAAAGGCATAGGGGAAGAAATAATCAATCACCACTTAAATAAATGTTAGTTCTTATACAAAAAGATTGCCTTCTTTTGTCTGTATTTTAATATAAACCGGTGAGTAGGATTCATAGAAAACTTGCCAAGATGCAAGTGAAGTAAAGCAAAATTCGAATCCAGAATGGTGATTCACTGCAAAGGTCCAGTTGCAGTAAGTGGAACTAACAAAATTGTATATAACCTAGGCTTTTATTTGTTTTGTTTGTTAAATTTAAGTTTAGGATGGAAAAAATCATTGTCTCAAACTAATATTTTGTGCTTAGCTGAAATCAGAGTGTAAAAAAAGAAGGCATTTTCTGAAATAAAAAGAATTCTGGACCAAGAAAGTGATAAACTTGGCCTAAAAGACTTAATACAAAATAAATTGATGGATATACTTCTTATTTACTAGGGAGCAACTTTTTAAGTCCTTTTTGGTCAAGGTTTCTGATTTTATTTCTTTCTGCTTAAATACTTAGAAAATCTAAAGTTAAAATCATTCAGTTACATTTTTCATTGGTCCCAATTGGTTCAGTTTAATAAAATGATCTCTAGCTCTCAGATATTTTTGATAAAGCCTCATCAGTTCTTTCCCAAAGTGACAAATTTTTGTCTTTGTTTTTTAACTTGCTGGAAACATTCAGAAGTAGATGCTAACATATACTGTACTTCGTATTTGAGGAACATAGAAACTTTCTTTAAGAAATTTTGGGATGGGGAGAGGGAAGGGTCTACAAATTCAAGGTTACTTTAAAACGTATTTTAAAAGCTATCTATCTATGATATATCATTCATACCTTAGCTGTATTTTGGTTATATACCTTGTATAAGAAAGGTTTTTGTATTCCTTTTAAATGTCCACATAGCTTGTAATCTCAGAAAGGGAATTCTAAAAGATCTTCTCTATTCCTTCTCTTTAGACATTTCACAAAATATTAGTCTCCATAGTTTACACATGTGTAAACTATATATTTGTAATGTATATTACAAATATATATACAATATATACAGAGCTTCATAACTGAAGCTTGCCTATTCGAGTTAATATAATTTGATTTTGGTCTGATTTCTAATGGGATTTTAATTCTGTTCTCTTAGGAGTACAATAAATACCCTATTCTTAGTCCAGGTTTCCCTCTCATATTGTAGCACTAGCCTTTAGCCTAAGATTTAGGTTTATGTTTCCTTTCTTCAGAATCTCTTGCTGCAAAAACAACATAGACTATCTTTACCTTGCATGGAACTGACTTTTACTATTTAGTCTTTTATCTGATATTAATATGCACAGACTTTTTTGATTAATATTTATATAAGTTAGGACTCTTAGTTCAAAGTAACAATTCTTACATCTCAGCCAATAGCTAGCCTCTAGGGCTTAAAGCAGGTTCAGCCCAATCCCCACTTATGAGTGGGGTACTGCTAAAATAGCTCAAACTCACCCCCTAGCTTTGTCTTGTCTCCTCCTTTCAGATACCTGAGGGCATGATTCTCTTTTTAAAAGCTTGTTCATATATTTAAAAGGACCTGTTTTTGTTTTTGCCATAAATTTATAAATTTATAATTTATAAATTTGTAGGAGGTGGAACTTAACCATATTAATTAGATTGTCATAATACTAAAAGTTGGTAGAGCCAGTGTTTAGAAAGAAGTTGAGAATTATCTTTATTTTAGACCGTATTTAAAATACTTTAAAATTGAGAAGAGCTTCTGCTTTAGTCTTTCCTTTTACTGTCTTTCAGAAGCTTCTGTAAGTTCTCTGAACTTTGCTTATCCATGTGTGAAATCAGAGGGTTTCCCAGTTTTTTTCTTTGTATCACTTAGAGACTTAACACTAATCCTAGACTGGATGCTTTAAGAATCAAGTCAGTCAGATTGATTTGGCTCTTGCCTATTACTAGGTTAAACTGAATTCATTTTTCACTAGGACAAACTAATAATAACTACATGCTTATCTGGTTGAGTGAACCTTGATTTAGAAAATTTCTGGTACAAAGTCAATGTTAAACATTCAGAAATATCTTCGGAAGTAATGAGAAATGTGCTTTTGTTTAATGTGTTCAGATAAAGATAAGCAAAGCTTTAATTTTCTTAGTATATTGAGATTAATTCATGATATAATTGTTAAGTATTGTAACTGATTATTTTGTATCTCAATATAGGTGAAGAAAACTGGTCTTGTTGTAGTGAAAAACATGAAAATTGTTGGTCTCCACTGTTCTAGTGAAGATTTACATGCTGGGAAAATTGCCGTTATTAAACATGGGTCAAGGCTGAAAAACTGTGATCTTTATTTTTCCAGAAAACCTTGTTCTGCTTGTTTGAAAATGATTGTAAATGGTAAGTGTATAATGGACCAGGCGAGAAAATAACAAAAATAATGAACAACCGTATACCAGAGACATTTTACAGGGGTGGAGTGGGGAATGGGATCAAAAAGGGGGGGGTGGGCAAGTGCACGGGTTTATGGTGATGGCACACGGGTGACATGGTGATGGGAAACCCGTGGGGATTACAATTGAGATGGAAAAAAAAATGTACAAAATGATGTAAAAATAAACTGTAATAAATAGCATTTATCTGAGAGTAATCACTGAGAACAAATTACTTAAACGCAACAGAGGTTATTTAGAAATGTGAGTCTATTTTAGGGAACAGTTAGATATACTGTAATAAGTCAGAAGATACAGATTTTGGTCTCAGCTTTGGCACTAATGTGTTAAATGGCCTTACTGTATTATTAGACTAATTCTAGCTGTTGTTAAAAGATAAAGTGAGGTATATTAAAACTTCTAAGAGTTCATTTGAAGAAAATCTGTTCAAATTAGACTGCATCCAATCTAGCTCATAGGAAGAAGCTGCAAAGAACTGTATAAAGACTTCAGGCAGAAAGGATAAGGACTTTATACTTTGGCGAAAAGTCATTGGTTGAATTAAGGTTACTTTACACTAGCATATGACAGTAACCTTTCAGTTAGGTTACCCAGCTAGTGCTGGCAGTCAGTCAATCCCCTGCTGATAGGTTTAAGATTCCTTTTCAGGGAGTGCTGAAATTATAATTCTAAGTCTCAGTTTAGTAATTGCTTCTCAGCCTTTTGGCTAAGATCAAGTATAAGTATCATTTTAGTGATGCAAGTCTTAGCATAAGAGACTTCATTTTGACTTGTCAGTTTGTTGTTAACACTGCTGAAACAAATATATCCCCAAATTTCTGTGGTTTGCTATGCTAGATATGTATCACCCATGTAATAGTCCATTGCAGGGATTACTGAATGACAGCCCTTCCCCATGAGGTTGATTCATGGGCCTAGACCCTTTCTGTATTGCAGCTACTATATTTTATATAGACACTGTGCTACTGTATTTAGGGTATAAAATTTATATTTGGTTTTCACCCCCTTCCTGGCATGCAGAAGCTAAAACAGGTGATAAAAGGATTGCAACTTTGACCTGATCCCCTCCCCCCACAGCGTTGGAGAGGAGAGCCCAGAGTTTGAGTGCATATTCTAAAAGCTTATGATATTCTCTGTCATTCCTGTGTAATGAAAGCTCCTTAAAACCCAAGAAGACGGGGTTCAGATTGATTCTTGGTGGGAAAAAGGAATATATTTCCTAATCCTTTCCCACAAGTTGTTACTTGAAGCCAAAAATAATAGTATGACATATCAATTCCACCAATTGTGTGAGGCTATAAAAATGATACATGAGATCAAAGGAGAAATAGTAATCCCTGCAAGTTACAAAGGCTGGAATTTAGGCTGAATCTTGTTGGATCCAAGGCAAAAGGAGGGGAAATGTATTTCTGGTCAGGGAAACAGCATATCTGGGATTATTTTGTGAGAAAGCAGGGTTTTGGGAGTCAGTGTTTGAAGTGAAGAATCAGTCTTGGAATAAAAAACAGTGGTAGATGAATTATAATGATAGATTGGAGCGTGAGCGAAGAACTTCAAAAGTCTTGTAACCTTTGGGCTTTCTTTTATAGAACAGAGATTCTAAACTTGTTTTGAGGATGAACTGTTTTTATTTACACCAAATCTTTAATTTGGGGATGTCAGTGTCCTTAAGCTATAAATGGAAGTGATCATATGACATAACTATTTAAAGCAGGTAGTTATGTATGATTTGTATATTGATGATCCTATAGTCTCCTCTTGCACTTAAGAATAGAGAGGATAGTGAACGTGGCCTGTTATTTTTCTGCTTTTCCCAGGTAACTGGACAGATTGGATATTCCTGTTATCACTTGTGTTAATTTACCTATATAATTCCTGTTACAGATTATGAGAAGTCATTAAAGATTTTTGAGCAGAATGTAACATTATTAAAATTACTGATTTTTTTTTTTTATTTAATCAGAACATAAGAGGTTGGGTGCTTGACTTTTGCATTAAGGCAGGACATAAAATAGGATTCTAGTGGTAGCATTGATACCGAAAGGAAAGACTGTGAACATTTTTTGACTTTTCTGTTTTGGAGTCAAGAGAGAGTGAATAAAAGATACTTGTGTTTAACAGAGTTGACTATGCTAAAAGCACTCTTATTAATCTCAGAGGTCAAGAATTAGAAGGACAAATAGGGGAGAGCAAATAACTCACCACTGCTGCTGTCTTCAAATATGCATCTAAACCAAGTGTGAGAAATCAGGAAATATACAATGGAAATGCTTTTTACATTGATGTTAGACCTATAGTTAGATAAAATTGCTAGCTAGATTAAGTTTATATATTCTATCCAAGGAAGGGGCACAGTTTAACCTGATACTATTGTTAAATCTCTGTCAGTTAAAAATTACTATTACCTCATTAACAAAGCAGATGTTTCTAAAGTGCAGTGATTCTCACAGTGTGATTTGTGGACTTCTAGTGGTCCATGAAGTCAATTTTCATAATAATCTTCATTTATGCTAACAGTACCAAAACAGGTGGCAGCAAAGCTCCTGGTGCATGTTAGGAATCAAGGTGGTAGAGTCTTCACACACTTCATGGCCTTGCCCTTGGAGTGGAAACAAAAGGGAAGTGGGAATTAAGAATGCTTTTGAAGCTGGCTTTACTGAAGAGAAAGCTTTTTAAGATTAAAGAACATTGTCAGAAGATCCCAGAAAAGTTTTCATTAGCAGTTAAAAGTTATTCATGCAGAAGTGTATGCAGCAGAACACTACTTTTTTAATTTTATTTGTACTCTTTGGCCTAGGATGTGGGTTTTAAATGGACATTGTACCAATTTCATTAAAATAAACAAAATATTTGTAAAAACCATTAAAAAATGCTTTTGATGAAAGAGCAAAGATTATTTTATGAAATCCTAAACCTTGAAGATAGAAATATTTTAATATTCTATGTGAGAAAATAGGAGGTAGATCCGAAGTACTTTTGTTACAAACTTAAGTAAAAATGTTTGCCTTAAAGGAAACCACTCACTCAGTTGTTTGAGTTATGAACTGACTTATCTACTTTTTTTCATGGTTATGAAAAGAATATAGCTTGTTATAATCACTTACTAACAAACTATATTTATTGACACTTGGCTGTTTGATAGGCATTTTATTAAAAAATGAATGAAGTAAAGCTGTAACTTCCAGGTGTTTATTGCCAATGATAAAATATTGGAACTCTATAAATTTACATGTCTCCCAGTACTTAAAGACTTTTGATGAGATTAGTGATCTACTTTGGTGGTGATATCAATATTACCACCGAATTTTGTGTGTTTGTGTGTGAAATCAGTAGATTTTGGGGGGGGGGGCTATGAAATCAGTAGATTTTTTTCCAAATGACTGATGCATGTATGATGTGGCAAAATCATACACATAAAGAGCCATTCTTAAGTGAAAGCTGTAGTATGACTTCAGTAATAGTATAAAAGTTTGTTGATGTGATTTCAGATTCACATTGTAACTAATCTGTTAAGAAATGATCCCTTGTGAAGTTTTTATGTAGTGTCAAAGAAGCAATCCACAATTATCTGGAATGACTGCTGAAGTACTCCTTTGCAACTACGTATCTGTGTGAGACCAGAAACTTTTTTATATACTTCAATGAAAACAACTTAACACAGCAAAATGAAAGCAGAAGCAGATTTGAGAAACCAGTTGATTCCTATTTAGCCAGACAATACAATTATAGAAATTTCATACAGTGCAACTCTTCTCAACTATTTCATGTTGTTGTTTTGAAACATGTAGTTATTTTTCATTGAAATTATTTATGTTAATGTATATTAGGCTCTTATTGATACTTCTAACTTTTGTATTAATATTCTGATACAGTAAATATCAATAGATATAATCCGTGTACACAAAAGCTGTTTTTGGACCCTCATTAATATTTTAAAGATAAAGAGGTCCTAAAACCAAAATATTTGAGAACCTCTCCAAGCATTTATTGTTCAATGATTATTTGTTCAATGATTAGTCATCATCCCCCTTCTTGATCCAGGAGATGATCAACATAAATGAGATTGACCATCATTGCTAGTACTAGCAGGAAATGAATTATGAGAACTTCAGTACTGGGAAAGTGAAATACATCCAGAGGAAACACGATGATGCTAGCTCACAGTGCTGTAAAGTTGCTTTATAGTATAAGCCATAGTAAGAGTGAAGGGTAGCAGAGTGTTCAAATAAAACTTTTTAGTTCATCTATTATTTTGAAAGAATTATACCCTGTGAGCCATCTGTCTACTTACTTTTGGGAACAATCATTTAAAAAAAAAGTCTCTCTTGGCTAAAATTATGTGAGTTACTAGCAAAGGGATCTTTTTGTTGAAAATATTAATTGATGAATATCCTCAAACTCTACTATAAAGGTACCGCATTGTTCAATCTTAAATACAAATTAAGACATTTTGTTATATATTTTTCACTTTCATTTTCACTTTTGTAAAATTTTCATACCTTTTTGTCACTCCCAAGGCCTTATTCTTGTCAATTTACATGTGCTCTTAATAAATTAAAATCTTCTCTGTATGTTAAAGATTGCTAAGTTATCCTCTGTCACACTGAGAAATGTTCCTCTAGTTTGTTTTTTGTCTTTAATTTTGTGGACTTCAAAAGTTAGTATTATTCCTTTCTTCTCACTGCTGCCCTCACATTTTAATTTCTTTTTGGACATTTTAAATAATTTATCATATGATTTTGTTAAGAAAAGGGCATTAATTTGTTAAACCATTCCCCTATTTTGGTCCTTTAGAATACTTTACACTTTTACTGTTTTAAACAATGTTAATCTAAATACATGAATGCATGAATTTTTTGTTTTTATTTAGACGATTAATATGGCCAACCAGAAGAATAATTCATAGTACAGGTACATTTTTAATATATGGATTGATTGATTAGTTGAGATCAAAACTCTAACAACATAAGGCATTAGCTGTGATATTTCTAAGCAGCCATTTGATTATTCAGGGGTTTGTTTGGGATCACACATAGCAAAGCCAGTAGACACCAAGGAAGATACATGGTAACACATACCTTCCATGAGCTTTCTGGGGGTTGGCAGATTTTTCCTGTTGGGCCAAATAGTAAATTTTTTAGACTTTCATATAATGTTTGCACAGCTACACAGTTCTCAGATCTCCATTGTAGTGCAGAAGCAGCCAGATACTGTGTCAACAAGTAGGTGAGTCTGTTTTCCAATAAAGCTTTATTTATGGTTATTGCACATTGAATTTCATATTATTTTCATGTATTGCCAGATATTCTTTTGAATTTTCCAAATATGTCAAGCTATAAAGCCATCTTCCGCTCAAAGCTTTACAAAAACAGATAATAGGCCAGATTTGGCCTATGAATCACAGTCTGTTCGACTACATTATAAGTGCCTTGGTAGTAGTGTTGATAGTAGTATGTTGAACCATCTAAATATACATCAGTGATGTGGTGAATTTGTCAAGAAAACCTTTATTGTCAGCATGTATCTGATAACTTCCTTTCTTTGCATTTCAGCTGGAGTTAACCGAATTTCATATTGGCCTGCTGATCCAGAAATAAGTTTGCTTACTGAGGCTTCTAATTCTGAAGATGCAAAGTTAGATGCCAAAGCAGTGGAAAGATTGAAGTCAAATAGTCGGGCCCATGTGTGTGTCTTACTGCAGCCTTTGGTGTGTTATATGGTGCAGTTTGTAGAGGAGACCTCTTACAAATGTGATTTTATTCAAAAAATTACAAAAACATTGACGGATGCTAACAATGACTTTTATTCTGAATGTAAACAAGAAAGAATAAAAGAATATGAAATGTTATTTTTGGTTTCAAATGAAGACATGCATAAGCAAATACTGATGACTATAGGTTTGGAGAACCTGTGTGAAAATCCATACTTTAGCAATCTAAGGCAAAACATGAAAGAGCTTATCCTACTTTTGGCCACAGTAGCCTCCAGTGTGCCCAGCTATAAACAGTACGGATTTTACTGTGGCAATACCGAACAGATTAATGAAACTCACAATCAAAGTTTGCCACAAGAAATTGCAAGGCACTGCATGGTTCAGGCCAGGTTATTGGCATATCGAACTGGTGAGTTACATGCTTAGTTCATAAATTGGGACTGATTGGTTGGGTTGTATTTGTCTCAGGCATAAAATGGTGTTCATCTCATCAGTGGTAGAGTTCACTTTCTCTTAGATACTAAAGACTTGCTTTAGTATCTATTAGTGGAACCATTCAGTAAACAACTCTATTAGCAGTTTTAAGATTTCTAGTGACCATATTTTCAGTGCTGCATTTGTAAACCAGGGTCTGATTACTGACTATCTAGGCCATTCTCTGTCTCTTGATTTATTGAAGTCTCCACTAGAAAATGGGACAAAAAGAGAAGGGAGAGAGAACCGTATCATTTATTTTTGTTCATTATTAAATATTTTGTATGTATTCAGTATTTAATAAAAATCTTTAAAATCTTTACAATAAAAGCATGAATTCAAAGTAACTGATGGAATCAAAGTAAAGGAATATTGGCAAATTGTTCCAGTTGCTGGTATGTCTTCAATCAATAAGAAATCAAACATTTTTACTTTAAGTTGTTCATGAGTATGTATGTGAAAAAGGAAAATATTACTTAAAATTTTATTTATTGTGATAAGAGATACATCTGTATTTCCAATTGTAGAACAGTGTTTTTACTCCTTATGAGACAAGGTTTTCAAAGTAGAGTCATCACTTGTTTTAATGAAAATTTAAAATAAGGGGGCAGAAGGGAAATGCAGGCAGGAGAGCAGCAGAGTAAGATTTAATAAGTTGACTGTAGTAGGATTTTAGAAACTCCTAGAAAGAGAGGAAAGAAAATATTCACAAAAGGCCCGTACAGATGCTTCTGGTCTGCAGTATATGCTGTAGAAAGACCACAGGTCAAAGTAATTTCAATAAAATGAAGGTTCTCAACTGGCAACATCACCATGGAATCAGAACCAACAGCAAAAGTTTTGTTAAAAAGTACAAATGCTCAAATTCCAATACAGACCTGCTGACATCCCTAAAGTGTAGCCTAGGCATAAGAATTTTTTAGGTTATGTAAGAGATTCTCATGTTCAAGTTTAATAATCATCAATTCTTAGAAAAGAATTTGACTCTACAGGTGTGATTTATATGACTGCAAACAACCACACTGTCTAAAAGTTCTCCTTAATGTAATTACTTTGTATTGTGAGCTATAACCAACTTTGTAAAGAAGGTTTCTCAAAACCATTCTGGAAGGTCAGAAACAGAAATGGGAACCTGCTGTTAGGGCAATATTCCCCTTCACAAAATAGAATTCACAAGAGTCCAGAGTAAGCGTTAAGCTACAAGATGTGAATCTGCTGATGCAGACACCTCATCATGAGATGTATGATTCTAAAGATTAAAAATGTAGTAATGTGTAAATATAAATGTGCCCATATATCTATAGATATTCCAATTATAAATTTATCCACTATTTCTGTGCAGTTTTATTCACAAAGCTGTGCTTCTGCCCTTGATGGACAACCTTAGAGATTTTCAAGGTTAATTTTTTGACCATGCATGACAGTTTTGCCTAGAACCCAAATCTTGAATAGGCCGCAGCTCCTGAATTCTCCTGTTCTGTAAGCTTTTCCAGGGAAGAGAATGTCTTCATCATCATCTCCTTCTTAGCACTAAGGAGAGTGTGTTGAATGGATAAAGATGACTTTTTATATCCAGTATAAATGGTCCAGGGCCCCTTATCCAAAATTTTTGGAGCCAAATGAAAAAGAATTCAGAATTTTTCAAATTTTAGAAAAAGCCTAATGCATAATTATGTGTTACACCACACTCCCTAGGAGTTCTGGAGCAGTACCTTGAAGTCAAACATATTTACATATGGAGTAAAATACATAAATACTTGCCCTAAATATTCAGTCAGGCCTGGCCACAAAATAAGTGTATTTGATTGTCAAAAACTTAGTACAGGGGATTTTAGATAAGGACTTTTGAATTTGTGTTCTTTATTGATAATAAAATAGCAACAATTTATTGAGCAGGTATAGAACTAGGACAAATAGTTCTAACACTGAAAACAATCCCACTCCTGAGAGAATGTGCCTCTGATAACTCAGATTTTTAATTTTACACTATTCAGTTTACTTTGATGACTTTTTTCACTAATTTATAGGTGAAGAAACCACTGATTAAACCATTTTATTTAAAAGTATACAGATGATTAAAATGAATTCCAAAATCTTTGAAGTAGAATTCTAAAGGGAATTGGAAATAAGTGCTTAAGAATTGCTTTTTGAAAAATAAATGATGTCCATAGAGGTATTATTGAAAGTATGTTTCTAGGATACTTTAGGGTAGCAAAAAAAGAAGTGATAACGTTTGTGTATAGTTCAGGACAAAAGAGGTCTTCATATCTTCCTCTGCTGGTTTAAATGTCTCTTTGGCTTCCTGTTTTCCATTAGACTAGTTACTTTCCAAAATTGAGGATTATGCCCTTCTCCAGAACCACAATTTTTGATGATGGAAAGTTAAGAGTAGCCAAGAAAGTCACCTTTCAAATCCTAACTCCCTGGTTCTCAATTTCTAGTATGCCTGCAAGTCAGGGATACTCACAAGAAATGCAAATTCCTGAGCCCTGCCCCCTTCAGCCAGGAGTCTGTTTTTCACTAGCATCCAGTGATGCACATAGTTTATAGGCCACTAATGGAGAAATCCTGGGCTGACCGCACAATAGGAGCTAAAATAATCATGCCTGAGTTCCAGAACCAATGGATCAAGTCTTATCTGGATTTCAGTAATAAAAAGAAGGGTCTTAGATATTTGACTAGGTGATTGAAAATTGACTTTTCTTCTAATGTAAACAGAGAAGAACCCTGTCAATCACATGGTCATGAGGTATCTTTTAAAATTACAAACATTAAGGAATTTTTAATTACCCTCCAATATCTGCCATCCAAACTGGGGGCTGAGTTAAATCTACCCCATCTAACATAGATGAACTTTATTCTTATTTAAGACATATGGTAAAGAATAGTCTCTTGTTGAAACTAAACCTAAGAAGTACAATTGCATGTTATGGACAATCGCATTTCCCCTCCTGACAAGGTTCAGTCTGCCCCTAAAGAAAAACAGTAAGAATGGCTCCTGAAACAAAAACAAACAACAACAAAAAAGAACATACTTACCATTGGAGGTAAGTGTATGAAGAACTTCCATTTTAGTTTCTTATTTTTCAGTTTCAGACTTATGAGCACATTAAGAATCATTGTATCTACAGTAAAAGGTTCTGTTTTGCAGGCAAATATAATCTTTAAAACTTGCTTCTTGCTTTAGAAATAGGCAAGACAATTCTTTTCTCCCAGTGTTATATATAGTCTGAATGTCTTGAGAGGAGAAAAATTTGTTTACACCAAAGTCCCGTTCATGATTTTTCCACACAAAAGAGGTCACTTTGTTCGCAGCACCATGTTCATTTCCTTCGTAGCACAGTAGAGTTATTGACATCTATTCCTGTTTCTGTCTTCCTCTTGCATAAGGCTCTAAGTTTCATGAATACGGTGACTTCCATTTCTCCCACCACTGTATACTCGGGCATTCAACAAAGGGGAACTTTGTTAGGAAATTTTTAATGTCAAGGGGACATGTAGAAAAAAGGCATGTAGGGTGAGTCTGCAGAGCTAAAGTTTTGTGATTTCTTTGCTTATACATCTAGAAAAGGAAATTCACCTGTTTTGCCTTTAGGGTAAAAATGAGATAATGGGTAAAATAAGTTATATATATGCTTTGTAATGTGATTTTGAAAGCATGAGCTTGCTTATACTGAAGAAGGGGAATTTCATTAGTATAATTTTTTTAAAGATTCACTTATTTATTAGGTATCCTGGCTTTTAATGCATACATACATAGAATAGTTTTCTTTTTGTACTTTTATTAGAAAGTATTTTGACATACTTTTATGTTATGGAGTTATAGAAAACATTTAAAAAAGGAAAAGTTAAAAATTTTATCTTTGGAAGGTCTAACTTTTAGGATGCTGCAAGGTGAAGTCACAGATTTATTTAATTCTCACCAACATGAAAATTCCCTAAAGTAAGTTCACAGATGATTATTGCTTTCTCTGTATAAACTACATACATAACTACATTACTCCCTTGTAATGTAAATACTAAATTGTCATAATTACTGTTTAATTGTTTTAGATTTCAAACTTACTCTTCCAAAGGAAGAGTCAACCCTTAAATATGTAGAATTTTGGGTTAAAAGCTTAAGAGCTGTCTGTTTCAGATTAATGTTTTAAGAGGTATAGCTTTACTGGTTGCAGAGGCTCTAATCTTATGCTTACACTTTCTGTCACGTTATTTAGAAATGAGTAGCATGTCACTAACTTCACATTCTTTGCCCCCTCTGGGTAAACTGTGATGGTCAGAGAATGGATGTTTTGTTTAAGTCAAAACCCCATTCATGAACTTTCCAGCATTATCTGAAAGTCCCTAAAGATTTTTTATGTTTGTATTGTGTTTGAACATTTTTCTTGGCAAGAACATTTGCACAAAGTGTATTTTCCATAAGTTGTAATAGAGAATCAACTAAATTGTGGCTTTGAAGTGACAGCGCCATTTAATAATATCTACATGCAGATCATGTGGGACTGGGCTGGTAGTAACACTGTTTGGTGGCTAGTTTCCATATTCCTTGCTTGCTGCAAATATTTCATACTTTTCTATAATTAACAAAGATGTCAGGCCTTCTGTTACATTTAGTTTGTTTCAATAATTTTTTTTTTATTTGGGGGAAGATGTGTTTTAGAGACTAAGAAGTCATTGATTTTTACTAAATGACTTTCTCTTTCAGAGGATCATAAAACAGGAGTTGGAGCAGTTATTTGGGCAGAAGGAAAATCTGTAAGTTTTAAAATAATTTATTGAACATTTTACCTTGATTTTGCTTAACCATAATTCGATCATTAAGTGCATTACACCTTATTGGCCCATTGAGATTAATCCTATATATTGGTGCATTATTAAATTTAGTGAACATTTGCAACAGTTTTGTGGATAATATCACTCATTTAGCAAACATTTACTAAACACTTTCTACAGGGCGTAGGAACTGTAATGCCATGAGTACATAAAGGGCAGGAAACCTTCACTCTATTTGGAGAAAATGAGTAAAATATTCTTAGCCTTGAAGAATTGTAACTGAAAGACCAGAATTTGAGCCACCTGTCACCACCAAATGCCAAGAAAGTAGAGACAGAAATTGAAACTTTAAGGTGACTTTTGAGACAGGCAGCAATCTGGCAGGCAGCAATCTGGAAGATGGGGGAGCTGAAGTTGGGGAGGGGTTAACACTCTGAAGAAATAGCCTTAAAATTTCATTTCCAGCTGGTTATTTATAGTGAGATGGACAAAGACAGTTCAGCAGCAAGCAGGCCTTGACTGCTGCCAGGAGCCTGCAATGTCCACCCCCAGACCTCCTGTTCCCCTCCTGGACACCTGGCCTAGAGTGTCCCATTATCCTGAGGCTGCTCTTCAGATAGCGCTGGCTCCCTGCACTCCTCCAGACGTGTCCTTGAGCTGGAAAATGAACTCAGAGCACACAGGCCATAAACAATGTGTGTGCAGATTTCCTACTGAAACAGGCACTTGGCACTTCACCCTGGAGTTCTTGGCCTCCTCAGACCTCAGAAGGTACAAGGAGCTAGTGGCCACATTGACAGCAGGAACAGACCAAGTGGGATATGCACAGCAAAGGTTATTGAGGCAAGGCAAAGCAAACTATTTGCAGCAAAAGCAGCCAAGCAAAGCTTCTGTTGCCAGGAGGGGATGCAAATGAGTTGCCATCAATGGGATTCAGGAGGCTGCTTTTATCCTTTGGGGTTTTTATCGTTTTTGTTTTCTCTTTTGATGAACAGTTTCACATTTTTTGATTCTTTGGGGTGCTATTTCTGGCCTTGATCTGTCACTGCACACTGGCCGTCCATGCCACTATTTCCCTTAGTGCCATTATCTCCCTTGGCCCTGCTTCCCTCTCCCTGCAGCTGTCTCCTGACCTTGGTCATTCCCTTTCTCACTACTATCCCATGCATCGTGTCTTCCCCATCTCCTCTCCCTCCCTTCCTCCTCCCCACTCCCCACCTCCCAAGTCGGGACATTCCTGTGTGTTTATATGAATATTCAGCAGCCTTTTGTCTTCACATCTAGTTCTCAACTACTTTGTGGACAATTTAAGTCTCCACATGAATTATATGGAACATGAGAAAGTCACTAGACATGAGTTTGGAGTCAAACAAACTGGCCTGAATTCTGGCTTTTATTTACTAACTTTGTAACCCTGAGAAAGTTGGTGTTTGTCTACCTCAGTTCCCTTATCAGTAGGACAGAAATAATAATATTGCTATATTCTAGATGGTGAAGATTGAATGAATGAAATAATACATGCAAAACTTAGAAGGATATTTGACATTTATTAATAGTAAATACTCCTAATATGCCATTGATCAGGGAAAATAAAAAAAGAGCCACTTAGGTATGAAGTTCTGTATTATAGACATAGAGGCACAAAAAACAGTGAAAAGTAAAAGAAAGCGCAATTTTAACTTTCCAACTGTATCACAAAAGCACATTTTTTTTACAAAGCACATTTTTAATTCAACAACAGAAATATTCTTTGTAAAATACTTTTAGAATTTTTTGTCTTGCTAACCAGTAAAACACAAAGAGAATATTAGAAATTAATCATTTGTTGAGTACATATTATGTATCTTTACAGGATAGAAAACAGGCATAAAGTGTGGTTTCTGTTCTCCAGGATCTTTGATAACTCTCTGAGAAAAGGATGACTGAATCAA